CCAGCATTGATTCTCATGAGATTTACAGCTTTCCTCATGCCAAGAAGTCATTGGCGCTTGCAATCATACAAATGAGGAGAATGAAAGGATTGTGGAAATACTGACAGCCTTATAGCAGTCTACTAAATATAGAGCTCTGCAGAGGCAAAGGAGAGATAACTCATGTGTTAGAGTAAATCCAACTAAACTTTCTTTGAACAGATCACAGCATCCATGGGAAACAACAAGATTGAAAAACATGCAGCTTTTCTGCTGTAGGGAAAAATTTGGCCTCAGATGAGCATTTATGTTGTAAAAAGCGGGGAAAAGTTATACATATATTGAAGAATAGATAGTTTTGTAATACCACACTCCAGCTAGAATAGTGCTGTTCAGTGAAAGTTCGTATTTCCCATAACACAGCTGTGAAGCCGGAAAAGCCAATATCTCAGTAAGATGCTTCTATCTGAAAAAAAAAAAAAAAAAAAAAAAAAATCTGCAAAAGGCTAAAGAAACTATCCTAAGATGGCATGTTTTTTATGCAATATTTTGTTTTTGAAGGATTAGCTAACCTACCTCTTTTTCTTATCGATTTTTCAGATAGAAACATTGGCTTTAGGGGAACAGCCATGTAACAGATTCAAGGGAGCACCTATCTTGTTGGCTTTAATTTCTAGAAGATCAAACCCATCCATGACAATATGCTGTGTATTTCTGAGGAAGGAATTTCCTCATGGAACTAAAAGTGTACAGGAGGAAATGGATAGAAAGTCAGAGAACATTCAATGTTGCAAAAGGACTTGGTCCTGCTCTCTGATTCTGGGGAAAAAACCAAAACAAACAAATGAAAAAACAACCTAGGGAGATGACATGGCCCTAGAGAGGTTTGGCTGCATGGTGTGCCCAGGTGAAGAGGGCCATGGGTGACCTCTCATTTCCTGACATTCAACACAAATCAGAACTGGAAACCACAGCAGGACAAAGCATATCTCACCTCCTTACATGGACCAAAGTCAAAGCCCAGATTCATTGCCACAGAAGCTGAAGACCAGAAAGTACCACTGCCTCTCTGTGGAACACTTCGCATTTTACAAGCACCCCAGGGGAAACTGTGTGCTGTGGTTGGTTTGCTAAATGAACTGGGATGATATTTTCTCTGTTTCACTTTAACTAGAAAATTAGAATTTAAAAAGTATGGTTGTATTTCTTAGATGCCAGTGTTTAAAGACTGAGCTTCACACTAATGACATTCGGAGATGGCTATGAAATAAGTGACCTAAGAAACCCTGGATGGAAGCTCATGCATAATTGTGTTTTACACTAATTTGCATGGAAATTTTGATTAATGCAACCAAAAAGGTGAGTCCACAATCTAGATTCAATATTAAGGTGATCCCATCCAAAGGAGAGAGACAGTATTAAAGGGAAACAGATGGAATAAAAACTAAATTAACAAACAAGGAAGTTGATGGAAAGTTACTTTACTTGCCAGAGAAGACAGGGTCTATACTCTATACAAAAGGTCCACCTGAAGCAAAGCTGTGCTCCAAGGGAATTGTGTCTTAGGTAGTACACCCATTATTCTCTACTTGGTACTTTTTTCTCTTTTACTGGTAAAAAATGATTTCTCATTTAAGAGCATCCAAAAACCCACTTTCATCTATGAGCCATGCAGGATTCCAGCTCCAGAGCATCCAGGCTTGGCTGGTTTCCAGTCTGGGGCCTGCTTTTAATCTTTCAACACGTGTTCTTAGCATTCTAAACTCTTCTATGTCAACACCTATATAAACAGATTCAAGACAGCATCTTTCTTGTTGGTTTTAATTTCTAGACCAAACTCATTAAAGACAATAAGTTTGGTGTTTCTGAGGAGGGGATTTCCTCAGGGGACTAAAAGTGTGTGATAGAAACTCAATACAGGGGCAGAGGACATTCATGAAGATACTGTCAATTAATTTCTGCACCTCTTCTTAGGGTTCCAAACCTTTCTCAGCCTTGTGCCCCAAATACCCAAGAATAACTGGTTTAAAGCATGGATTCAATCTTTCCTGTAACACAGTTAATGGGTGATAACCATGATTGTGATTAATGTAAAGAAAATATTGATGACTTGCAAACAGACACCTCAAATGGTTTAAACTATGATTTCTTAACTCCAGTACCAGTGACATTGGGTGTAGATGATTCTTGCGAAGAGAAGGCACAGTCCTATTTATCATAGAATATTTATCAGCTTCTCTAGCCTCTACCCACTAGATTCCAGTAGAATTCACCACCTTCCCAGGCTCAACCACCAAAAATGGTCTCTAACTCTGCTAAATGCCATCTTGAGAGCAAAATTGCTCCCATAGATAGCCATGGATTTATTTAATTTCAAAACTACTGATAGTAGGCAGGGTTGAAATCAGGGTTATGCTGAATAAATCCATGAGAAAAGATGGTCACTACAAAAAGAACACCAAGCAAAAACGAAAGTTACCAGCATAGATACACCTAAGGCCATTTTTTTCGATGAATTTTGGCAAGGTATGTTAACACTGCATTTTTGGGACCAGTAGCCAAGGGAACTTCTTAAGAAATACAGATCTCAAATGAACCCTGCCAGTAACACATCTGATATGTTTGGGCTCTGTGTCCCCACCCAAATCTCACCTTGAATTGTCATAATCCCCACGTGTCAAAGGTGGGGCAAGGTGGACATAATTGGATTATGAGGGCAGTTCCCCCATACTGTTTTCCTGATAGTGAGTGAGTTCTCAGGAGCTATGATGGTTTTACAAGCATCTGGCATTTCCCCTGCTAGTACATTCTCTCTTGCCTGCTGTGATGTAAGATGAAACTTCTGCCTTCCGCCCTGACTGTGAGGCCTCCCCAGCCATGTGGAACTGCAAGTCCATTAAACCTCTTTCTTTTGTAAATTGCCCAGTCTCGGGTATGTCTTTATCAGCAATGTGAAAACAGACTAATACAACATCAATGGAGATGGACGTTACAATGATCTCCACTGCATTGAATAGACCTTCTATGAGGCTTAGGTATGTTTTCAAGTGAGTTAAAAACCCCTTATGAAAAATGTCACCATAATAAATGATGCCTTCATTTTGTTTAAAAGGTTAGTGAAAAATTTATTTATTTATCAAAGTTAGTTGCTTGGATAAATACATTTCTATTTGAAGACATTAAAAGAAACAACAACAAAACCTAGTTAGCATAGTTAACTTAGTAAGAGCTGGGGAAATCATATCTTTAAAAAGTTAATATTTGGGCCAGGCATGGTGGCTTATGCCTGTAATCTCAGCATTTTGGTAGGCCAAGGCGGACAGATCACTTGAGGTCAGGACTTCGAGACCAGCCTGGCCAACATGGCGAAACTCCATCTCTACTAAAAATACAAAAATTAGCCAGTTGCAGTGGCACACACCTGTAATCTCAGCCACTGGGGAGACTGAGGCAAGAGAATCACTTGAACCTAGGAGGCAGAGGTTGTAGTGAGCCGAGATCATGCCACTGCACTCCAGCCTGAGCAATAGAGTGAGACTCTGTCTCAAAATTTTTAAAAAGTTAATATTTGGAGTTGGGAACAATGGATTCTGAAGGTAGATCGCATTCTGTCTTGAATGCAGTAGGTAGACATGTTTTTTTAACTGTGGAGATGTTTTTTTTCCTTCCCACACTTTTAACATTCTTTGTATTCTGTACTGAAGATCAAGAACTAAACTTTCCACTTTTATGTTTCTCCCGTGGGGTACTTTTAAATTAAGTTGGTCTCTGGCTATTATATTTATTTCAATCTTTTGAGTTTGTTTTTCCCAACAATAAAGCCTGCAGTTTACTAATGTACTGTCAGATGATGTTGAATACGCAGGAGACAGAGCCATTATCTGTCTCAGTAAACAAATTTTTCTCAAACCAAAAGCTAGAGATTAGGTCAATAAGCTTTTATGGCAATTTGTTAGATTTTTCTTAGGAAATCATAAAGATTTTTTTTTCTAGCTCATTTTCAAATTATATGAAATGATGAGAATTAAAAATAAATAATTTTAGAACTAATATTTTATAAAATTAGGATCATAAAACCAAGATCCAAATAGATTTTTTAAAATGTATATACCCAGTGTCTTAGGTCAAGTTTTCTAGAAGAGCCTGGAGAAAGGTTCTTGTGCATTAGATTTTTTTTAGTAATAATAATAATATTTATAAAGCCTTTTTATGTGCTAGACATAATGCTAAACACCTCATGTGAATTATTTCATTTAATTTTCAAAATAATCATATGAAGCAGGTTTTATTATATTTTTTTCAGATTTAGGGGCTACATCTGCTTGTTTGTTATATGAGTATATTGCATACTGGTGGGGATTCAGCTTCTAGTACACCCATTACCCAAACAGTGAACACTGTACCCAATAGGTAATTCTGCAAACCTCACGCCCCTCCCTCTTCCATTTTGGAGTCTCCAGTGTTTATTATCTCCATTTTTATGTCCATATGTGCCCACTGTTTAGCTCTCACTTATAAGCGAGAACATACAGTATTTGGTTTTCTGTTTCTGAGTTAATGGACTTAGGACGATAGCTTCCAGCTTCGTCTATATTGCAATTAAAGACTTTATTTTATTTTATTTTTTTATGGCTGTGTAGTTCTTTCTTTCTTTCTCTTTCTTTCTTCTTTCTCTCTCTTTCTTTCTTTCTCTTTCTTTCTTCTTTCTCTCTCTTTCCTTCCTTCCTTCCTTCCTCCTTTCCTCCTTTCCTCCTTTCCTCCCTTCCTCCCTTCCTCCCTTCCTCCCTTCCTCCCTTCCTCCCTTCCTCTCTTCCTCTCTTTCTCTCTTTCTCTCTCTCTCTCTCTCTCTTTCTTTCTTTCTTTCTTTCTTTCTTTCTTTCTTTCTTTCTTTCTTTCTTTCTTTCTTTCTCTCTCTCTCTCTCTCTTTCTTTCTTTCTTTCTTTCTTTCTTTCTTTCTTTCTTTCTTTCTTTCTTTCTTTCTTCCTTTCTTTCTTTCTTTCTTTCTTTCTTTCTTCTTTTCTGGTTGCCCCAAAGGGCAGACAGGTTTATTGGGCAGCAGCCGGGAAAATGGGTGCTTACACTTGGCCACACGCTGCAGCTCTTCCTTCTTCTTGATGGCATAGGAGTTGGAGGAGCCCTAGGCAGCATTGATGAGCTCATCTGCCAGGCACTCAGCAATGGTCTTGATGTTCCAGAAGGGAGCCTCATGAGCTCCTTTGCACAGCAGCCAGATGGCCTGATTCACATGGTGCAGTGGGGACACGTCCACAACCTGTTGTCTCACAGTCCCGGCTCGCCCAATGCGTGTGGAGCCCTCCCAGAGACCACTGTTGGTGATGGCATTCACCAGGACTTACAGAGGGTTCTCGCCTGTGAGCAGGTATATGATCTCAAAGGCATACTTGACGATGCACACAGTCATGAGCTTCTTGCAGTTGTTGCGGCCATGCATCATCATGGAGTTAGTGAGGGGCTCCACAATGGGGCACTGAGCTTTGCGGAAGCGTTTGGCAGCATACTACCCTGCACTGTGAGGCAGGTACTTGGCATACTTCTCCGTCACTGCAATGTAATCCTGCGGGGAAATGTCATTGATCTGCATATCATCGGTGCTCCACTTCCCAAAGAGCTTGATGTCAAGGGTCTCTGCCACCGCTGGTGCTGCTGTCTCCCACTCGGTCATCCTGAGAGCACAACCTGAGAGTCTCTGTCGCTTGGCGTGGACCACGTGCCGCCCTGGCACAGAAAGGCAGAGCGGCTGTGTAGTTTTCTATTACGTATATGCACGACATTTTCTTTACCCAGTAAATCATCGATGAACATGATTTTCTGAAGGAGACCTCTCAGGAGAAGGGCAGGACAGCAGGCTAGGGAAAGGAGAGCAGAGAGCTAGACTGGATATGGTCCCACCTGGAGCTGTATTTCAACTTGCACTTCAAATTTAGTCCCATCTTGAGGCAAAATAGCTGATCTATGTTCTCCAGGGGATGCAAAATTGCTGCATCAAGATGATGTCCATGAAGGATTTTAATGGTGACGAAAAGTGGTTATGATGTGTGTTAAGTGAATCAGAGACTAGACAGGAATATACCACCCACACAGTCTTAACCATGCACTAAAGTCTATTGAACCAAGACTAAAGAGAGTTATGCAAAAGTATTGTTCGTGGTTATCTCTGGAAGATGCAAGATCTCTGGAAGATGAAAGGTGGTCACTTTCTTTAATTTTTAAAATAAATTTCCAAAGTTTTTACAGTGAACATAGTGTAGTGAACAAGAACACGTTCACTACACTAGAACAAGAACACCTAGTATGTGTTCAAAATCTTGTTTAGCAACCCACGTAAGGTATGACTGAACAATTTACTTTCCATCCTTTAAAAGGGGATTGATAAATTATGATCCATGACCAAATGCAGCTGACCATCTGTTTTATAAATAAAGTTTTATTGGAACTCCTCATCTATGACTGCTTTTGTACAATAGCAGAACAGAATTGTTTCCACTCTGATAGGTTTAAAACACAGCATGTGGGAGAAGAAATCACTCAGCCCTTACAATACTATTGTCACTTCCACAACTCACTTTATTTTCCATCAGAAGCACAACTAGTCCTTGCAGGTTCTTATTACAAAGAAAGAAAATGAGAGTCAGTAATTAAAGTGAATTGCCTAAGTCCCCATAACTATCTCAAAGCATGTGGAACCAGGCATATGTGTGATTCTCAATGCACAACCTTTACAATCAATTCGTTGCTTCCAAGAAATCAGTAATTATCTATTTTCAGGTATATCCCAGGTTTCCAGAGTGGAACCAGGGAGTAGAAAAGGTTGCATATAAAGGTTCATTAGGTTTTAGTAGTATTATATTTTTCATACAGGGCTAGTTTGCTCAAGTACTTTTGATCATTTGTGAACAATGCAGTTAAGATAAATCCTACCAGGGGATTATGTAAATTTAATGTTTGAATGCATTTCTTTTGCATATTGGAAGCTCATATAACTTTTTGTGTACCATATTTGTGCAGGAATTCTTTTACTAGAAGCAAGAATGTAAAGCTTACCAGAATTCATTATTTTCATTCTTCAAGATGAGAAATATTGTGCTTTTAGATTCTATTACATATTTCTGTGCTTTGGAGCAAAGACAATCTGTAACAGACATTTTATTCCACCTGTTTTTACTATATTTACTGTAGTCTTATAGATGTAGGCTAGAGAAAAAAGTTAAAGTAGCTGAATAAAATATATTTTCTATGTATTTTTTTGGGGGGAATCCTTAAGAATGAAATGTAAGTAGTTTTGTAAGTATATGAAAGGCAACCTCTCAGTGCTGTTTCTCTGTGTTCTTTCAAACAGGTATTATCTTCTCAAATACCTGAGCATGAATGATGGAACTCAAGAATGGTAAGTATGATGGCTTAGGCTGCACCAGAAGAAGGACAGAGCAGAGTTGTGATCCGTTCTGAAATGCATGGCAGGTGATATTTAGAAACAGGCTGTCTGGGTCCAGGTACAGTGACTCACACCTGTAATTATAGCATTTGGGAGGCAACAGGCTGGGTGCCCAGGCTAGTCTTGAACTCCAGGGCTCAAGCAATCTTTTGTAACAAGACCTCGTGTCTAAAAAAAAAAAAAAAAAAAATTAGAAAAAAACCCAGCCAGACATGGTGGTCTACACCTTCAGTCCTAGCTACTCAGGAAGGTGGGGCAGGAGGATCCCTTGAGCCAGGGAGTTTGAGGCTGCAGTGAGCTGTCATTAGACCACTGCACTCCAGCTTGGGTGACAGAGAGAGACCCTGTCTTTAGAAAAAAAAACTGTTTTAAAATTAAGAAATAGAAATAAGCTATTTGCAAATAGTTAATGAGTTTCTTCCATATGTAAAGTGTGCTGCTAAGAAATGTGTAAATAAGACACAGTCTCCATATTATGAGCTGAGTATTTTTTGTAGAATAAATACATGTTTTAAGCAAATACTTATAGTACAGGGAACAGACAATATAGTCAATGCATTCAGCAATAAATCATTAATTATTTCCTATTTACCAGATGTTTTACTGGCCCCATGGCTGCCTCTAGGGTAGGGTGCCTGTGACTCCTAAAGCCCCAGAGGAAGTGTTACAGTGGCCTTTTAGCTTTGTCATCTGCAGACGGCTTAAGTGTTAACGGTTCAGTGGAGGGTCAGTGTGACGGCCTTTTGTACTGACATTCATGGCACTCAAGTTCTTGTCCAGCATCCAGGAGGAGTGAGGTTGCCCTAACGAACTGAAGATGGGGATTTTATTGCCGGTGAAAGTGGCTCTCAGTAGGAAGGGGAGCCGAAAAGGGGATGGAGTGCGAAGGTAAGCTTCCCCTAGAGTCAAGCTCTCCCTCTGAAGTCAAGCTGCTTCTCTCCAATGTCCAACCGTAGTCTCCAACATCCAGCCGCTTCTTCTCTCTGCTGTCTGAGCCTGGGATTTTTATGGGCACAGGATGGGGAGGTGGGGTGGGCCAGGATAGGGAGGTGGGGTGGGTCATGGGTGGTTTTGGAGAAGGCAAAATTCGAGGGGGAAAAGAAGGAGGTAAGTTCTTGCTTTGGGCCATGGTCCCAGGCTTTTTGGTTTGAGGGTGGGGCCCTCACTGGGGACCTGCCCTTTTCTGCCCAGAATTTTCCTGCCTTCTATTTCTATCAACAGTATAGGAAGGAGCCATACTACTTGGACTGTGGTTCTCCAACAAGTTCTGCAGCAGGGATTAGGGTTAAGATAGACGAAAATGTTCAAGGTGAGAGAAAGGCTGTCTAGCCTGGGCTGAGCTAAATTATGCAGATTTAGTAGAGCTTTAATTCCCCAGGCTCCAGGCTTCATTCTTAAGGCTCTGAACCTGAGATGGAAGAAAGACTCTTCCCTCAACATGAGGTCATCATTCCCAAAAGAAGGCCTAGGACATTGTGATTGACTGAACCTAACACTCTAAGAAATAATGGCTATCAGTTTGCTCATTCTTGTAGTCTCGTTACCCTAAGTTGAAATAAAAGTGTCTCAACAAGGAAAATAAGAGGAACTTATTTTAAGAATGTAATGGTTCAACAGGACCATAAGGACAACACAACATGCATTTCATAGAAGCTTGGAGAAAAGTATTCTGTACTCTGACTACAGAAAATTAGTAAAGTCTGTTGGGATGAGAAGACTTTTGATCAGGTCTCCAAGATGAGGCATGAGCTCGGTAACTGATTGTGGGAAACAAGGTTTCCAGGAGAAGGTCACATTGAAGGTCACAGATCCAGGGCATTTTATATAGTTTATTCTCTAAGTCGTAAGATGTGTTGTTCATCTGAAACAGAATATATGATAGAAAGTCATGGAATCTAAGTCTAGTAGGATAACTGGATGACAGCTCTGCTAATGAGTGTGGAGGAAGCCTTGCTGGTTTTTATTTTTGGGAATCCTTAAGAATGAAATGCAGTTCTGTAAGAACATGAAAGGCGGTCTCTTAGTGCTGTTTCTTTGTGTTCTTTCAAACAGCTGTTATCCCCTTCAATGAGGTTAAAGAAAACAACACAGAAAAAGGGAAAATGTAACATAGTTCTTGAAAATGGCCTGTAGGCTGGGCATGGTGGCTCATGTCTGTAATCCCAGCATTTAGGGAGGCTGAGATTGGTGGATTGCTTGAGCCCAGGAATTTGAGACCAGCCTGGGCAACATAGTGCAACCCTGTCTCTTCAAAAAAAATTAGATGATTATGGGGGTGCAGGCCTGTAGTCCCAGGTACTTGGGAGTATCATCTGATCCTGGGAGGTCAAAGCTGCAGTGAGCCATGATGGTGACACTGCACTTCACTCTGAGCAACACAGAGACACTCTCTCTTAAAAAAAAAAGACCTGTAAATAAAATTCGCATTATAAAATTGAGTATTTTGGAGCTCACCCATAACTGGATTTAGTAAGGAAAATGAATATCAATAGTGGTTTTACAATGTTTGGTGCCACGGACCCTGTTAATGTATTTCATGGCTAGTTTAATGCTCCTTCAAGAGAAAACCCCACATACACACAGGAGACACATCATAGGGACTCTAATTACATTACGGACCCAGGTTAAAAATCTAATTTTATTTTTTAAGATGAGAAAACTAATTTCTGCTGGAGTGGTTCTTTCTGGGACATGCCCCATTTGCCATAGAGAAATGGGAAAGAGTTGAAGAGGAAGCAAAAATGTAATATGTCTTTCTTAATGGTGGGTCTCAGCAGAGTGGGCTACCCAGAAATGATTGTATTCTATGCAGAGTGAGGCCAGCGTATGCCAGTGTCCTCTGTGGAACTCATATGTGAAATCCTGTGCTGCAAGTTTTCATGTGTGTCATCTCCTTTCAATCCCAGCACACTATCTAATATAGTTTCCACCACACTCACTCTAAGGATGAAGATACCACACTTGAGTAACTTCCCTGAAGATCACAGAGCTAGTTGATGGTGGAGATAGGATTCAAACTTACTATCTACAAGCAGGACTTTTTTAACTGGACTGCTTTAACTCATCTTCTCCTCTTCTGATACTGTAAGAAAGGAGTCACAAAACTGTAGATATAAGCCCACTTAAAGGAGCCCCAAAATTCGTGTTGCTCAGACAAACAGATGGGGTAAACTCAAGTTGTGATGGCTGCAAGTACCAAGTGTTCCTTATAAATAAAGGAAATATGTCTTGTTTAACTAGCTTGGGAGACTTTTTCAATGTAGCCATGAAAAACAAAGCAAAAGGTTGAATTT